TTCTTCTGCCGTACCGGCTTCTTTTTCGGATCCACTGCCAGTTTATGTACCGCCAGGTCAGGACTGATGTCTGGCATTTCATGGACTTCGAATGCAAAGATGTCTTTGTATTCTTTCAAAACTTGATGAAAGTCTTCACCCAGAACTCTCAGAGCAGTCGTCCCAACCTTGACTGTTCGGTCAGGGCGCGAGTCGTCTAGGATCAGGTCCGTATGCTCACCAGCCGGCTGAGGGCGGAATTCATCTGAACGCTCCTCTGCCAATGATTGCTATTTTTTCACTTTTCTTGTGGCCCCCATTTGGGCAGCTTTCCTTTTCTTGCCGCCTTCTTCTTGAACAGGCGCACTCTCCTTAGCACTCTCGGGCCATCTTCTGATCTCCCCTTAGGGAGCCGACTGTTCCATCATCCCTCTCAAATTTGAGCAACATAAGAGACGGGATTAAAACAGCCTTGGAATTATTCAAGGTTGGTCGTCCTAGAATCATGTTGTAGGCCAAGAGTTCCTCAACTACCAGGAACCGGACCACCATGTGTCGACCTTCCCCTTTTTCACCCAGGCGGATGGGTAAATCCACTCGTCCCACTGGGTGGACGAATCCTCCTCCAAACCCTACTAGAGGGTGGGATACCGGATGTATGCAATCAGTCTGATATTTGAGCTTTGACAGACATTTGCTACTGATAAGATCTGAGGAGTTGCCGGTATCTATGAGGATTCGGCCAACTCTCTGGTTGGCACCTTACATTCAATTACAATAGGGTCGTCATGCGACCCCCTTACCCCTCCTAGATCTTCTTCAGTAATGACAATTTCAGGAAATGAATATTTGGAGGGTTGTTCTTGGTGAACGGAATTGACGTCTAGCCGCCTGATATTGTCTTTGTTGCCCCTAATAGTGGGGCTGCCTCCTGAGAAGCCGCCTGCAATGGTGTAGACAACTGCATCATCTGTATCAGAGATGTCGGCCTGTTGATTCTTTTTGGCCGACTGCTTTTTCGAGGAAGTGTTCCCCTTAGATTTCTTGACATAAGAGTCAAGATCGCCTTGTTCAGTCAGGCGGTCCAGATACCGCATGAGACTGATGCATTCGTTGGTTTGATGACCAACATCTTCATGATAATCATAGAATTTTTCTTGGTTCCGGTTGCTCGCAGAACCCTTCATGGGGGCCGGCTTCTCAATTGAGATCCGTCCCTTGATTTCTTTTAGGATAGCTTGGCTATCCCTGTTAAACACATACTTTGGGGAGTATGGTTTGAATTCTTTCTTCTTCTTCTGGGCCGGCTGTTTGGATGAATCAGCCGCCCAGACCTCTTTTCTCTTTTTCTCATCTTTGTTGGACGACTGCTTCTGTCGTCCTTCTTTCCTGTCGAACCTCTTTCCGTCCGATTGCTTTCCAGTACTACAAATATCAGTCGCCTGTATATAGGCTTCTGCTTCAATCAAGGCTTCTTGAAGAGTCGCCACCCTCTTTTGAACCAAATCAAACTTGAAGGTCGACCCGTCTTTGAGGCCTCTGAAAAAGTCAGTATAGGCCACCTCATCCGGTAGCCCTTGAATTTGTATTCTCATCAGGTTAAACCGCCTGATGTAAGAACGAAGCCCCTCCTTCTCGCCCTGCTGAATTGTCCCTAAATCAAGGGTCGTCTTCTTCGCAGGTATGTTCATAGCAAAATTGGAGGTGAATAAGTAAGCAAGCGTCCCGAAGTTATTCACACAACCAGCCGGCAGGTTGCCGAACCATTGTTGTGTGATTCCCTTAAGAGTCGCTGGGAAACACTTGCACCAAGTGAGATCATCCAACCCTTGGAGGTACATCAGGTTGGTGAATGCCATCAAATGGTCTTCTGGGTTAGTAGTGCCGTCATAGGCGCCTACTAACACATTTTTAACTTTTCCCGGCTGAGCGGCCTCAGTAATTTCCTTGGAGAAAGCCGACGGTTGTTCCCCAAGCCTAAGCAACCGTAGCTGTCAGTCCAAAGGTTGGACAGTTTTTGCCGCCTGTCCTCCAAACGGAGGGGGCTGCAGAAAATATTGTTGTTGCGGTACAAATGGTAAGTTTGGTACCGCCTGGTCACTATGAAAACCAGACTGACGGGAGGTACCGCCTGTCTGACTCTTATGATGTGACTGGGTATACCTCATAGAGGTATTGCGCAGACTGTCTTGAAAATCCGAAGTAGAGGCCGACTCTGACAGTCGGTCATTCTTCTTCTGCTCTAGCAATAGCCGAGCGTATGTGTATGTTTTCTTCGACCCGTCCGCCTGAATATGACGAACGGGTTTCCTCTTTCCTGGAGTAGGAAAGCGGTACTTTGTGAAATCAAGGACAGGCAGCTCCCACTTCCTAGAGTTAGGATGAGGGGTCGCCTCTCGCTCTTGAACAGGCTTCCTCTTCCCTGAAAAGGAAGGTTTTAGCCGACTGCTCCTTGGCCAGAGCAGGCGTCTTTTTATTGATCAGCTCCTTAATCTCTCCCTTGAAGCCCCTCATGAAGGTCATGAGTTCGTTCCTTGTAATGGGAGCAGATCCATCAGCCGGCTGCTGCTGAACAGGCGGTGCGCCGACTGGATCACTGAGTCCAGTTTGAGGATCTTCCCGTTCTCTCCTTTCGGAATGACGGGTGCGCCGGGCCCTTAGGGTCCCGTCTGAAGCTGTATGTGCTTCAACTTCAAACTCTTCTTCAGTATCATGATCCGACTGAACTTGAGGGTCGTCCAGGGGACGCCTCTCTTCAGGAGTCGGTACAGACGTGGATACCATCTCAAAAGTACTCTCCCCACAGACGGCGCCAAAATGTATCGGGGTTTTTTGATGTCCTGTGGGAGAGTTACAATTCTGAGACTGGAACCGGACGCCTGTACCTGCAAAACAAACGGATGCTCCGGATGATTGGAGATCCGCCTCCAACGGTCAAGTTAGTACTTGATTAAGGAGTAATTAATGCGGAAAATAATGTAATTTAGTCTCTCTAGGTGAGAGTGTTTAATGTGCGTCATCCCGCTTAATGAGGATTAATGGGCATATTTATATGCCTTGGGATGCGTGCCAATACTAGGTTTAGGTTAAACCTAAGGCTGACTGGGCTTTCCACAAAGATTGGGCCTTGTTGGCTGATTTTCCCATTTGGCATGGATGGACACGTGTCGCGTCGTAATTGGTCCATGGAGGATGTATCTCTGGTTGACACGTGGCAGGCTCCCATTGGCCTACATGAAGGACACGTGGCGGAACCTGGCTGGTCCACGTGTCAGATGCTGATTGGTGGATAAAAATCCCCTAATCAATTTAAACTCGACAAAAATCCGAAAAACCTGAACCGGTCTAACCCGTAACCCGTTGTGACCGAACTATTTATAACCCGTAACCCGTTGTGACCGAACCGTTTATAACCCGTAAACCGTTGTGACCGAACCGTTTCCAACCCATAACGCATTGAGACCGAACCGTTTACGACGGGTAACCTATTATGACTGAGTCGTTTACAACCCGTAACCCAATATGTTTATGATCTGATCTTATTCAACCCACTACTCGATAAACCTAACTTATTTATGACTTAACTTAATTATAACATGACCCGTTCTTACCCATTATCTGACTAACTCGATTCGATAACGATCCAATTCGATTTAAGCCTAATATGATTTGGATTGAAACACGCTTTAAATTAGGTAAACCCATTTTCAAACCGACCAAGTTCAATCCAAACCGATTATGACATGAACCGATAATGACCGGACCCGATTTCATCCAATCTGTTTTGAACCGAAACCCATTTTCAAACCTACCCAGTTTAACCCAAACTGATTATGACCCGAACCTATTACAACCCGACCCGATTAGGACCCGAACTGTTTTGAACCAAAACCCGCTTTAAACTGGCTAAACCCGTTTTCAAATCAGCCCGATTCAACCCAAACTGATTATGACCCGAACCAACTACAACCCGACCCGATTAGGACCCGACCCGAATAGAAACCGCAATAAAAAAAAAAAAAAAAAAAAACAAACCGAACTGACCCGATGAGTTTCAAAACCGACCCAAACAAACCCGCTAATCATTTCAACCCGTTATAACCCAAAACAAATAAACCCAATCCAAACCCGAACTGTTTACCCAAATTGACACCCCTACTTAAGATCTACCACCAGGGCCAGGGCACCAGAGAGCTGCTACCATATGTTACATATTTTTATGGCTTTTTATTTTACTTTATATAGGACATACTCTTTTTTTTTTTGCTTTTTTTTGACAGGAAACAGGGCGGCAACTTTTATTAAACAAAGACAATAATTAACATCAAGATCCGCAAGGGTAGCTATACCCTGCGGGAAACCATCCAAAAACACCTGCTCAATGCCATTACTTGGCTCTAATCTAGCCATTAAATGTGCTACTGTGTTGCCCCCCCCCCCCCCCTCCTAATATGATTACAAAAAAACATAGAAAAAGCTTCTGCAATAACATAAGTGTCCTCAATGACGAGATCTCGAGGAGTTCTTCCAAGCTTCTTTTGCTTTTTTTTGAGAGATATAAAGCAGTAGGATACACTCTCTTTGTTCTTTTTTGTTCAATTCATAACAATCAATAAATAGAAACGGAAAGAGTAAAACATAAGTATGGCGTAACTTGCTGGTAGGACAATTAGTGTTGAAATTAGAAGTTATATGTTCAAATCTTACATGAAAACTAAAAGAAAATGAGAGATTAAGATGCTTTTGGCAATAAGTGAAGTGAACTGCTATTCGTCGTTCGCAAATTACAGGGTGACGCTCCCATTTTTATGTGTATTGACTATTTTGCCCTTGAGTGTTTTATTTCCATATAAGGCTCCACCATGACTCACTTTAGCTAGTAAAAAGTTAAATATTATTCCCGACCCCCCACTTGTCTTTAAAAAATCCCGACCCACAAAAAAACCCGAGACCACCATTGTACAGTAATTCCGACCAATTTTTAAAATCCCGAGTGTGGAAATTGGGGCCCACTATTCACGATGAGCGACGACAACTTTAGTACGCCGGAGCAGTCGTCGGAAGAATCTGTAAGTCGTAGTTTTTGAATTTTGTTTTTTTTTATGGACTTCCGCCCATTTTTTCCGGATCCCAGGGGAAGATCCGCCTAAAAAATTCGGAAGATCCTCCTAGGATCCGGATATTCTAGGCGGATCCCCACATACGCCTGGAATTTCCGGATCCTAAGAGGATCTTCCGGATTTTTTAGGTGGATCTTCCCCTGGGATCCGGAAAAAATGGGCGGAAGTCCTTTAATTCGTTTTTTTTTTTTTTATTCTTTCAAAATTCATAATATTATTTTTGCTGATTTTTGTGAGTATTATTATATTGTGTTAGTTATTATTATTATTAATTATGTTTATATTTCTAATGTTTTTGTTATTATTATTATTATTATTATTATTATTATTATTGTTGTTGTTGTTGTTGTTATTGTTGTTAGTATGATTATTATTATTATTATTATTATCGATTTTTTTATTTTTATTTTTATTATTATTATTTTTGTTACTATTATTATTGTTATTATTCTTATTATTGGTATTATTATTATTAATAATAATATTGTTACTTTTGTTGTTAGCATGATTATTGTTATTATAATTATTATCACTATTTTTGTTACTATTATTTATATTATTATTTTTATTATTATTATTATTTTTGTTATTAAAGTTTTTATTATTATTATTATTATAGTTTTTGTTATTAATAAAAATATTAGTATTATTATTAAATTTATAATACTAATATTTGCCTCATTTGTTTGGTTTATTGTTAAAGGATTCGGAGGTTGAAGACGGCGGTGACGGTGTGAATTATAGTGCAAATTTCGTGACAGACAAGGTTTTTCGAACGTTTGATGAAGCAGTTAGTTGGGCAGATGCTGTTGCAATAAATCTGGGATTTATTTTGGTGAAATCGTCTTTCAACAGACAGAGAGATGGTCGACCATATCGATATTTAAGATGTGATCGGGGACGCAGGAATAAGCCGAGAGATCTTGAGAACGCAATAAGGAAGGACACGAAAACCAAAGCCAATGGTTGTCCTTTCTACATCAAGATATCTTTCAATTTTGTCAACGACTGTTGGTTAATCACGGCGAAAAATGATGTAACTGGGACCCACAACCATCCAATGATTGCGTATCAAGAGGGGCATCGTAAAATAAGCGGGTTAAGCCCAGAAGCGAAGCAGGTTGTGCGTAACATGACCAAGTCTAAGGTAGCACCGCGTAACATCATGGCGACCATTGCCGAGAAATTTCCTCAGGATCATCCAGACATTAGACACATCTACAACTGCCGAAATGACTTCAGAACCGAGATGTCAGATGGGAGAGGAGTTGTTCAGCAGTTTCTACATTTGGCTAGACAGAGTCAGTATGTCTACTGGGTATTGTCTGATGATCAAGGCGTTTTACAGCACGCCTTCATGGCGCATCCAGTCATGGTAGACATCCTACGGACGTACCCGCATGTGATCGGTATGGATTCCACATACAAGACCAACCGATACGGAATGCCGTTCTTTGAGATAGTTGGTGTGACACCGAAAAATCAAAATTTCCTCGTCGGTTACGTCTTCATGCGCAACGAGTGCACGGCCAGCTATCGATGGGTTTTGCAGAGATTGAGAGACTTGATCGGTTTTGATAAGGAACCGTCGGTTTTCTTGACTGATCGTGAGCTGGGGCTAGTTACGGCATTGAAGGAAGTGTTTCCAGGGACCTCGCACTTACTTTGTCGATGGCATATTAACAAAGATGTTGAGGCTCGTGTCACTGATATGTTCAAAAGCAAAAAGGTTGGTGCGACATTCAAAAACGGGAGATGGAAACGTGTGATGGACGCTGCAACCGAGGAGGATTATGAGGCTGCTGTAGAGACGATGAAACTGAAATGGGCAAGTTATCCAAAGGTGATAGAGTATGTTGAGAGGACTTGGCTTTGTCATAAAACAAAGTTTGTGACCATCCTCAACAAAAACCTCGTTGAGGAAGGAAGGATGAGTACGGTTTCCACTCTTGTCCAGAAACAAACATTCGCCAAGAACTAACCACAGGTACGCCCTGTAATGGAAACAGAAGGGCCTCTGCGCCTCCAAGGTCGACTCCACTATCCTCTCAGTAAGCACCCCACTTCCCTGCCATACGGTTTTAGTACCGCACTTCTCATTCAGCTCTTCCGCAGTCATATCCAAGGTAATCGAGCACGCGTCCCGTAAAACGTCCGTGCTAGGAGTAGTGGAAACCATGGAACCGTCGACACAGAGCCCTAGAATATGATACACGTCATGCAGAAAGATCGTGATCTCCCCAAATGGCATGTGAAACGAGTTCGTGTCTGGCTGCCATCTCTCAACAAAAGCAGAAATCAGGGGCCAGTCAAATCCCTGGAACATGATCCCGGGTAAGTGAGATAGACCACTGCCATCAATCAGTTCCAGGTGCTCCTGCGGAAGACGAGCGCGTCAGTTACCCAACTCAGTACACAACTGTGTCATGTTCAAACACCGCAGAACATTTCGCTCCTGGCCACCCCATAGATATGAAGCCACGTGACCCCCAAAACTAGGAATGACAGTACCATCCTCAAGCCCACCTGGCATCGGCCCCCAAACCACCCATGACTCAGACGAGCTGGTAGAACCTTCACCTGGTTCACTACTACTACCATATCTCCCATGGTCACCCCTATACACAGTACGGTAATCCTGAGGGTCGTACTCTAAATCTCGACTAGCATGACTAGCTCGCTCATCGTCGTCCTCTTCGTCAGATACAGGCACTCTACCCGACGAGTACATGGGGGCGCTCATGTATGACTGATGCTCCCCCGACCAAGTACGAGCAGACCCGTACTGCTGCTCACGATGAAACGGTGCCTCCGAAGGTCCTGCACCACCTAACTCCCTCCTAACTGATGCATTCAAACGTCTCGATCTTGCATGTCGAGCGCTCGAACCCTCAATCTGCATTAAATAAGTAGAAAATATAATTTCATTAATACTTACACACACAACTATGATATCAACCTTGAATCGCTAATATTCAAATTCAAAAATAATAGCAACAGTACAAAACAATTACAATAAATGAAAAAACAAAATAAATAAACATAACAACATTACATAACAATAACAATAAATGAAAACAAAAAATAAATAAACATAACAACAATAAATAAAAATAAACATCACAACAATACATAACAATAACAATAAATGAAGAAAAAAAAAATAAACATAACAACAACACATAACAATAACAATAAATGAAAAATAAAGTAAATAAACATAACAATAACAACAATACATAAAACATAACAACAATACGTAACAATAACAATAAATGAAAAAAATAATAAATAAACATATCAACAATACATAACAATAATAATCGATCTAAATTACACAAAAATAATCAATGAAATACAATAATAATCACCAAATAAAAAAAGAAAAAAAAACAGATTATTGAAAATTTAATAATCACGAATAACAGAAAAAATAAAAAAAAATAAAAATAAAACAAGAACTTTACCAAACAAAAGAAAAAACCAAGAAAAATAAAAATAAAAAAAAAAACAAAACAAAATATAAATAGCTTCACCAAACAAAAGAAAAAAAAACAACAAAAAAAATAAAAAAAAAAAAACAGCATCACCAAACAAAAGAAAAAAAAATTAAAACAAAAAAAAATTAAAAAAAAAAACCCAGCTTCACCAAACAAAAGAAAAACAAAAAAAACCAAAAATAAAATAAAAAAATAAAAAAAAACAGCTTCACCAAACAAAAGAAAAAAAAATTAACAAAAAAAACATAAAATAATAAATAAAAAAAAAAAACAGCTTCAGCAAACAAAAGAAAAGGAAAAAAAAATTAAACCCAGACTTCCGCCTAAAATTTCCGAAAGTTTCCCCAGACTTCCAGAAATTTCAGGCGGAAGTCTGGGTTTTCCGAAATTTTTTTTTTTTTAATTACAGCAACAAAGCAACAATTACCAACCTGCTCGCCGCCGGAAATGCCGCCCCCACGACCACCGTACGCAAGCCTAATGCGTCTTCCGTCCGCCATACCCGGATTCAAGCTTTTTTTGGTTTTCGTATGTTCTTCATTTGATTTCAAATTTTGATTTTTTTTTTTATTTTCAAATTTTTGGTTTTTTTTGAAAATAAATTTCTGATTTTTTTTTTCTGATTTTTTTTTTTAAAAATTCTTGCCTTTTTTTTAGAGAGAGAGTGTCGGGGTTGAGAAATGACTTGTGAGTTTCGTAACTCGGTTTTCCAAGTATTTATATATGAGGGGCAAATTAGGAAATTCAATAAAAAAATGCGAGCGTCACCTTGTAATTTGTGAACGACGTTTAACAACACCCTTGAAGTGAATTGTTATTGAGGATAAGGAGATTTTACTATTTTAGAAGTCTAAAAGTCTTAATCCAAAAAAAAAAAAAAAAAAAAAAAAAAGAAGAAGTCATACTACGAGGGCATTTGGTTCGGAAAATGAAAACAGAGTAGAAAGAAAACAAATAAGAGGGAGGAAAGGAATTATTTAGCTATTACCTTTTCATTTGTTTGGTTTAACCATGGAAAGGGTATTTGTTAAGAGGACGATAAGGGTATTTGTTACCCCAAGTTTTTGAGAGGTAACCATTACCCTTAGGTAATGGTAATTGCTACCATGCCTTCAAACCAAACACACGGTAACGATATCGAAATAATCGAATCCGTTTCCAATTCAAAAAATACACTAACCAAACGCCCCCTACGTATATGCTTAAGAGAGAAAGGAGTTGGTTATTAATATACGGCGGAGTATTTTTTTATTATTATTATTATTACTGTAACATGTAATTACTTTTTTTTTTTTTAAGGGAAGATGTAATTACCTAGGAGGCTAGGATTAGCATTAAATTTTCTTGGCTTCTTGTGTCAAATACTCAAATTTAAGATCCAAGTGAGTTCTTTTTAAGTTTTATACGAAGTATATATATATATATATATATATATATATATATATATATATATATATATATATATATATATATATATTACTAGTCAGATTATAAACATTTTTTTTAATCTTCAAAGTTTTCTACTACGTTTTTTTTTTTTAAGCTAAGTGGGTGCATGTGGACCCACTTCGGTCAATGTGGATCCGCAACTTAATATAAACCCATTTCCAACAATAATATTCACCAGATTCATTTTCTATCACTTTGAGATCAAACATCCTATCTTCACCAAGCCAAAACTAGCAAGTTAAGAGCCACAATGGTTGTAGAAAGTTACCAATCCAAGAGTGTATGTGTCATAGGAGCCGGACCATCCGGTCTCGTGGCAGCCCGGGAGCTCATGAAAGAAGGTCACAATGTGGTAGTCATTGAGCAAAACCATGACATAGGAGGGCAATGGCTCTATGAGCGTAAAATCGAGGGAGAGGATCCTTTAGGCAGGGCAAATAAGTTCCTTAAGGTTCATAGTAGTATGTATGAATCCTTAAGGTTAGCATCTCCTAGGGAGATCATGGGGTATACTGACTTCCCGTTCGTAGAGAAGAAAGGGAGGGACATGAGGAGATTTCCTAGCCATAGGGAAGTTTTGTTGTACCTTAATGATTTTTGTGAATATTTTGGGTTGAGGGGCATGATTAGGTTTAACACTAGGGTTGAGTATGTCGGTATGGCCGAGTTTGCCGAGGTTGCCAAGGAGTTGAAATGGATGGTGAAATCTAAGGAGAAGAAGAGTGAAAAATTGGTGGAAGAAGTGTTTGACGCGGTGGTTGTTGCTAGTGGCCACTATTCTCATCCAAGGTTGCCTATAATTAAAGGTATACTTTGATCATACACTTCATTTATTTCACATAATAACACATGGCTTAAAAAAAGAGTTAAAAGTACAAAATAGAAGTGTACGTTAAGCATGCAGGAAGACAATTTTAGTAATTAACTCACTTTCATTACTCATTATGTTTTTGTTGCTTCTCTTTTGCATGCATTTTTTTGAAGGTATGAACTCTTGGAAAAGAAGACAAATTCATAGTCATATTTATCGGGTACCAGATCCATTTCGCGATGAGGTAACTATTCATACCATTTTCATCATTGTAGATCTCTAAACTTTCACATTTTTTAGCCTTGAAACAAATTTTGACTATTAATTTTCCTCGAGATAGTCAATTCTAAGTCAATTAATGCGTAATATTTTATACGACTTACGGAGTACTCATATAATTACATACTCGTACTACGTATACATGTTGCAGGTAGTGGTGATTGTAGGAAGTTCAATGAGTGGACAAGAACTATCAATGGAATTGGTGGGAGTAGCAAAGGAAATCTATCTCAGTGCCAAATCCCCAGTCTCTGAAGGATTGTCCAAAGTATTTGCCAAGCATAAAAACCTGCATCTTTGCCCAAAGGTAAAAATATTATACAAGTATCACACATACACACAAAATAATAAACTGATTTATTTTTCACGCCACGCCATCAAAAAATTAAAATATATATATATATATATATATATATATATATATATATATATATATATATATATATATATATCAACATACAGATTTAAATTGCATACATAGTACTCCGTATTTTAATTACATCTACATTCCATACATCTAATGATTAATGGTAATGACCTTAAAATATATTCCGTCCTAGTCTCAACCACCTCTATATGAAACATAACAATTAAATTTTGGTATATTATACTGCAGATTGACTGCCTTGAAGAAGATGGAAGAGTGTTGTTCGTGGATGGTTCTTGCGTCACTGCCGATACTATCATATACTGCACTGGGTAATATATCATTTCCATTTTTTTTGTTTTTATCATTTTTATGGAATTAATATATTTTATTTGTCATTCAAGGCATTAATATATAGGTGTGAGGATATTGTATACATTTTATACAACCTTGATTAATTCGGAATATTAAAATAATTAATTCATCACTTCTTGAAATAATTCATCTTATTTCTATACAATAATTCATGGATATGTCCAAAATTTCTTTCTCCCTACAGTGCTTTTGCTAATTTGCTATGAGTCACTATTGATTTTAGATGTTTAAACATATAGACTAGAAGATATCAATTAATTACAAAAATTTCATAAAATTTCTTTACGAATAATATTACATCAATTGACAGCTAGTCAAGCTAGGCAACGACAAGTAATTTGAAGACTTGGAGTACTAGTAAAACAAACAAAACTGATTAAAATTGGAGTACATATAGTCACCCGAGTACACCAAACATCCGAGTATATAGGCTCCTCAAGGTGCCATCCTTGTCCCAAAAGTGTGCAAAGGCTTGATGATTACCAAATTGGTACGGGAAGTCAAAGATTGAGCACTCTATGTAAGCATGCATCTTGTATCATAAGTAATTCCAACAATAGTATTGTAAATCATCATAATAACAACATAATGGGACCAACTTTTTTGGATCATGGTGACATGCAAGTTTCTTAAGCAGGAAGTATTGCAAATAATAATATACAGTTCTTCAAGTTTTCAGAATGTTGTTATGAAAATGATGTCTAAAGAAAGTCAGAAAGTTAGGTACAGTTGTAGGCAAAAGAGAAGTTTACCCATAATTTCATGCAACTACTACAACTTTTTTTTTTGCTGATAAAGAAACATGATTGATGATTAAGATTAACCGTGAAGAGACTTACTGTTTACTGTAGGTATTCATATACATTTCCATTTCTTGACACCAAAGGAATCATTGAGGTGGATGATGATCGCGTTGGACCTTTATATGAGCATACGTTCCCTCCTTCGCTTGCTCCTTCTCTTTCGTTTGTCGGAATACCTAGGAAGGTATTATTTAATATCTTCAAACCTGCAATGACATTAACAAATCTTATAATTCTGCTAGTGTGACAACATATTTCTATATCATAATGGCTTTCATTAATTGAATTAATAGATCATAGGGTTCCCTTTCTTTGAATCACAAGCAAAATGGATTGCTCAGCTGCTCTCAGGGAAAAAAACATTGCCATCTTGGGAAGATATGATGAAGGAAATCAAAGAGTTCTATCAGTCCAGGGAAGCTGCCGCCATCCCAAAGCATAACACTCATGATATTGCCGATTTTGAGGTAAACAGACATCTTGTCTAACTAAATTTTCTTTTACATGAACATCAAATGCATTAACTTGCAACACTTTTACAGATTCTTCAGTGTTTCAAGTACCATAAGAAGTTAGTCCAAAAGTTTTTCTGCTGTCAGTTACCTTTAATTATGCCTTTTCCTGCAGTATTGTGACCTGTATGCGGATAAAGTGGGATTTCCACGCCTGGAAGAATGGAGGAAAGAGCTATGTGTATCAGCTCTGATGAACGCGGAGGCCAATTTGGAGGTGTATCGTGATGTTTATGATGACTTTGAACTGCTTCAAGTAGCTCGTCAAAGTCCTCATTTCACTCAACTTGGAGCACATACATTTGAAGTATAAAGCAATACTCTGCTTCAGCCAGCTCAACAAATCAATGTCAAAGTAATATGCAGTAATTTACATAGAACAACATACCAGTGTTCCAGCGAAAGATTCGAGGTTGACATATTTTCTTTTTTGTGTATTGATGATAGTGGTCGCACAAAGTACTGCCCTGTATGCAGTTTTTTGAATGATTTTTACTTTTTATTAGAGAAACCGGCAAAATTATGCCATGTTGGAAAAGCCTTCAAAAGGTTGTACCAACAAGACACAAGTGTTTTCCATTTTAAATATGAAATAGTATATTTGCCTAACTAGTTAAGTAACTAACAGGGGGTGAAATAGCCTTACCCTTGCAAATCTTAGTCAGATTTGGATTAAGGCCTAAGGGTTCTCCATATATCGCCCCTATTAGTCGCTTAACTGTCAGGGATATATTCAAATTATTCGTTTAATAGTTATAAGCTGTAACATGATATATACATACTTGTTCAGATTCAGCATATATGCTCCCCAAAACACAGCCTCGTGATGACCTAACAAATGATTCCAACACCTGGAAAAAGAAAAGGGTCCTCTCAGTCTCAGCCATAGGTGCAACAGTCAACATGCTGAAAATGATACTAAGCTTGGATGTGCCTATCATGCACAGCAACAGCACATTCCAAAATAAGAGCTGAACTACATGCCAACAGATGTCAATAACTGTAATAACTTTAGGAGGAAGAAGAAGAATAGTGGGAAATCAAGGTTAATTTTTCTTTCTTCTTGGTTAGTAATGATCTAAAATTAGTAAAACTGAAATTATTTTGAGCAAAAAAGAATATTGATTTACTTTTACCAAAAGATAAAAAGGTTTTCATATTTTGACAATTTTAGGCATTGTTGGTCAGAATACAGCTAATTTGTCACCATAGATGACCATATGCATAATGTTCCATGATAGAGTTTTTTTTTTTTCCTTTTTTCACAATACTTTCCTGCATAATAATCAGCAGATCTTCCACAGATGTGGAAACATATGAATAGTAAAAAAAAAATGCTACGAAGTACATTAAAGTTGAAAGTTCCACCAAGGAAAAAGTACTTCAAAAACAATAATCGAAAAGTGGATGCAAGGGATTACAAATCCCACTAACCTTGCTGCAAAAGTTTTGGAAGAGGATGAGCTCCAATATGAGTTTATTGAATTTGTTGAATCATATTCCAGCTAGTTTTTGTTGTCCGTCTCAGTAAAATGTGAATTTAATCTGATAATTAGTGCTGCTCCATTGATTTTCATGCAGCAGCTTCCTATAATCCATCTTACATATCATCGAAATTTTAAAATAGCCTCTTAACAAGATAAAAATTACTAAAGTCATCAGTTTGTGACACACATTTACCTGTTCAGAAGAAAACTTGGACCAACAGTCCACAAATTAACAAGACATAGCATAGTGACATGTTCAGTGTGTCAAAAAAAAAATAAAAAAATTGAAGGGGTTCAGGCATTACCAGAGCACTCTGACAATAAATTGAAAATTTTCATGAGGGGTAAGCCTGAGTCATTTAAAGTTTCTTGGCTTTGGCTTTTAAGTGAGATACCAATTACCAAGCTCCAATCTATCCCGGAGAACAGAAATATGTAACTTTGGCCAAAATCTTATGAAGATTAATATCCAGGTAATAGCTAATTTACAAAAGGAGAAGAGGCAACCAAAAAATGTTCTCTTCAACAAGATCATGCTACAACATTTCACTATCAGTAACACAACTTGATAATCTTAGATTCTTGGCCATACACGCCAAAACTTTATATATCTCCTCAAGTCCAGGTTTAATATCATATGATGCAATAAACTCATAAATTTCACTGTTGATAACAACTGAACTGTAGCCAGGAAGATTCTGGATACCTCTATCCTTCGTCATTTCCCTCACTATCTCAACTTCTGCCCATCTTTGCTGTTGTATACATAGATTTGACAATAAGAAAAAGTTATCTCCATTCTGTGGTTCTAGTTCAACGAGTTTCAGAATCACAAGTTCAACCAAATGGAAATTTTCACGAAATTGAAAGGCACGAAGCAATGCCCTCCAAATGGTCGGGTCTGGAATCAATGGCATGGTCCTAATTAGTTCCATGGCTTCATCAATTAAGTCAGCACGGCTGAGCAGATCAATCATACAACCATAATGCTCCATCTTTGGTTCCACTCCAAACTCCTCTTTCATACTTCTAAAATGAGACCTGCCCTCACCAACAAGACCTTCATGAAAACAAGCCGATAAAACAGCCAAAAATGTAACATCATCAGGCTTATAGTCATCAAAAACCATGCTATAAAATGCCATTAAAGCATCCTCTCCTCGTCCATTCATCGAGTATGCAGAAATCAAAACATTCCAAGTGCACACATTTTTAACCTTCATTGCCTTAAAAACCTTAAAACCTTCTTCAAGATTCCCACATTTTGAATACATATCAATAAGAGCAGTGCCAACATATACATTCAACGCCAACCCATTTTGTCTTATATAGTCATGAACCCACCTCCCATGATCCAGAGCTCCTAAGTTAGCACAAGCCGATAATAGCCCCACCATAGTCACCTCCCTTAACTCTACCCCATCCCTCATCATGTCCCTAAACACATCAAACGCCTCTAAAAACCGCCTTCCATGTACATAACCAGTAATTAACGCGTTCCAAGAAACAGAATTTCTCTCAGGCATTTCATCAAACACTCTGCGGGCATCATCAATCGACAAACAAGAACAATACATATGAACAAGTGCAGTATTTGCAAACAAATCTGAACCAAAACCCATCTTAATTACGCAACATTGCAATGATTTCCCTAATCTACGACGACCCAAATGAGCAGTTGATTTAATTACAGCAGGAAAAGTCAATAAATCAGGGGATATACCATGTTTATGCATTTGTACATACACAAAAATTGAATGCCAGTATTTCTTTAAATGGGTATAAGTTCTAAGAACTGAATTACAAACAAAAGAGTCGAAAAATTCATGAAATTGAGAGAAAATAACAGCAGAGGAAGTAAACCCATTTGAAGTAGCACAAATATCAATGAACTTCATAAGATAAAATTGGTCCAAATGTTGATTCTGAATGATAATTTGGGCAAGAATCTGCTTCATTTGAGAAGGGTTTGAGAGTTTTCCCAGAATTTGAGATGAATTTATGGAAGTTTTGAGTGATAAAGATGAATTTGAACGTGTGAAAGAATGAATCCATTTCAAAGATGTTGCTAACCTGCCATGAAAGGGTTTCATGGTCCTAATAAGTTGTTGATGTGGACACTCATTGGTAAAAATTGAGATGGTAAATAAAAGAGCTTTGAAATTTTTTGTAAGAAATTGATCTACTAATGTTTAATACGGAGTCGACGTACTTGTAAAGTTGAGAGCTAAATTAACGCAATCGGTAGGAACTCCATATGTAGTAGAAGAAATCGATATCAAAAAAAAAAAAAAAAAAAAAAAAAAAGGAAAAAAAAAAATTATGAGTAACTTAGGGGGTGTTTCATTAATACTTTCTATAGTAAAAAATTTAGCGGAATTTATTGACGTACAATTGGATACATTCAAATATAGATTATAGTCTTTGCAATTTCCTACTCTGAACTAAACTCTACAAACTAACTTGAAAAGAAACATATTAAGAGCATAAAATACCAACAGGATATGTGAATATCAACTAACCTAGTTTGTTACCGTTTTGAGACAACATTAAATATTCTCTGCATTATTTTCCATTATGAATTCTATACTAATGACAATGAAAAGAGACGCATAATAATCTCCTTTAATGGTTAGCTTATGCCATAGTCAACGTAACACCTCCAATCCTATTAAGATATTTTTTTTATATATAAATTATTGGTCCAACTTCAGTCATATTTGTACTGGTGTTCATCAGACTCATTACCACTGAACCACTTCAAGATTAATTAGAATAAAGACCATTAATTGAATTACTTTAGCTTTTTATAAGGCATTGACAGTGTGGCACTATATATATAGTACTATACGTAGCACATTTTGCTGCAAAGCAAATTGATATAATTAGTGTCTCATAAGCTATCCCTTTCTTTCCCTTTCCAAAATTTGTGCATTTCTTCATTGCTTTTATTCATCTTTTTGGCAGTATCAGTGTATCACAATAGTCAGAAAGTATCACCAAGAGAAAACAAAAGGTTATGTGCTGCTGTGCTAGTAATCTTATCAATCATTGTTAAAAACCAAAAGAAATTTTGATCTATTTTTCCAATTTCAAAATATACAGAACAGCCTCTCTTCACTAGCTTTCTCAAATTTACGTCACAAATAGGCGTAATCCGACAGTCAGCGTTAAAAGTGACAATAGACAATGCATCACATCTATTTCAGACATGGAAATAATATCAAAGCTCTATATCCTGCTCTAAATGATGATCCTAAGTTAACAATAAAAAAGAGGGCCATTCAATCAATAAGTATGTAAATACATGATTTTTGAATCGGAAACTGCATACTTCTGTGATAAAAATCCTCTCATAAATCATGTCCGAGCCATTTTGATATAGTAGTAGGACTAGCAGGACTTCTTCGTCCTCTAGGCCGCCTGTTGACCTTACCCCAGCTGATAAGAGCACTCAATTCTTGAACTTTTTCATCAAAAGTCGGCTGCTTCGCCGCCCGAGGTTTTCTTCCCGTCCTACAAGCTCTCCTTGTCTTACTTAGACTCCAAGGGGTACCCGCTGCTTCCATAAGCCCTTCTATCATCATAATATCCTCAGTAACCTCGTACCTTGAGAGAGACGCAAGTGAAGGCAGAACTTCCCTTTGGAAGTCCTTCCTCTTTGACCTCCTTGTTCGACCCCTTCTTGTTTGGCAAGGCAACACTGTCAAGCAAGTCTCATTTGAGATTTGGACATTGCTTTTACACAAAAAGTCTTCCGATTTCAATTCAGGGAGTTCCAATGTCATTGCCTCAAAATCATCAATACTACAAGTATCCTTGCAGTTCATTGTGTCGAAATCATTCTCTAGGTCAGAGGAAAGGGAGTTGATTAACCCAGCAAACCATTCTAGATTTCCACTGTCAGAAGCTTCACATTTTCGCAAGCCCAAATTCTCTTGGTAAGATTGAGAACTAGATGAAGAAATGGATACAATGGCATCAGCTGCAATCTTTGCAAGTTCCAAAAAGAGGTCACTACCCTCTTCTGACTGATTATCTTCAGAGTCTCCTCTAGGTGGTGAGCGCTCCTTTACTTCTGGGCTAATAGGTGCCTCCAAATCAATTTCTAACTGAGTTTTGTCCAAAGAGGGTGACTTTGGCTGTAAACTGTCATCATTCATACAAAAATTCAATTTCAACCGACCTGAGTTCTCATGATCATGTACAATTTTATCATCTTGAATAACTGGCTCTTCATCGGTCATGAAATCACATGGCAAGTTGATATCAATCATTCTGCATATCTTGCTCTTTTTCACAGTTTCAGCTTCAGCGGAAGATCCGTTATTTGATGTATCATCTGATGGTGTAAATTCTGAATTTTCCATCACAACAGAGTTCAAATCAAAGCAGTTTAAATCAGAAGTTTTGGATGACATGCAAACCACTGATTCTTTGGACTTGACGTCAGAACAGCTGCTTCTTAAGGACTTAGCTACCCTAAAATTTGGACTACACAGTAGACTAGCATCGACCTTATCATTAATGGGCCCTTTCCGTCTGCCACAGTTTCTAGCACCTTTACTGCTGGTTAGTTGGTTGTCGAAAGAGGGAAGTGCTTGAACCACAAGAGGAATCTGCCCCAAACTGTAGGAAGGCTTTCTCCCAGATGTAGCAAAACCCACCTCAGATTTAGCCTTGTCAGATTGAGCAAGAGGTTTCCCTGTCACATTATCAGCAATACCATCTGATATAGTATTCTCGATATCAGACAGATCATGATTAATTTCCGAGATTTCCAGGAAAGAGCTAATTCTTTTGTCCCCACCACTCTCTTCCAAACACGATGTCGCCAGAGGTTCATTTAAGTCGGCCAAAGTAATTTTGCTCCCTGTAATTGAGCAAGGACTAAGAAGCTCTCCTTGCAAAACAGGACCCAATGATCTCTTTGCTGTGGAAGCCATTGCATAAGTCTCAACCCCTACTTTGAACCTTTTATTTGAAGGCAGAGTGGTAGGAGTAGGGGCCTTTGAGAATTCCACATCTTCTATAGATCTCTCTTCATCACTGTCGATGTACATCTCAGCCAGAAGCTCAAGGTCTAAAAGCTTTCCTTTAACTTTCTTGCACTTGGATTCCGCAAAGTTCAGACTATTCACAGTGCCACCAGTTTGTGAAGCTACGGGACTGACAGGTGGTTTTGGTTCATTCAAAAAACTGAGAGATGTCGGATTGTTATCTCTACCTGTGGAATATGGTGTATACTGAGAATTAATTAATGGAACACTATTTAGAGTATTTTGACCACATCTAGATGATATCTTTGCCGATGATGAACTTGATCTTTGGACTTCTATTTGTAAATGGCTCATATACAATTCTTTATTAGTTACTTCATCCATCAATTCCTTCTGTCTTCTATAAAGCCTATGTAATTCTTGAACCTGGAAGCGAAAAAAAAAAATTTAAGGAGTGAATCAATTGCTCATTGGTACGGTCAGCTACATCTACAACAAGAAGGTATACAGATAGTTGGACTATACTACATTTCAACCGTAATCATGCAAGATATGACTTCTAGAGTAAAGGTCAATATTGAGATCCTATACATACTTTTAAGAGGCATTGCTTATCAACCCTCAAATGACAAGATCGACTCAGGTAACTGCAAGGTATTGCAGTAATTTTTTTCTTTTGGTGGGGGGATCATGAATAATGCACAGCAGATTTCTTGCTTCACCAACAACTGACAACATTACAGGCGTCTAAAATTAGGAAGTAAGCTTACAGAGAAAATGCACTAAACCATAGTACAAGTTGATTATGGTCACCCCTAAAATTTAATAGCATATGGTAATGCGAAAAGATGGCCAAATTTAAGTACTTAGCAAAACAACATATTGAATAGATAACACAATCTATAAAAGTACTGACTGCATATAAATTTCATAGTCTATACTCCACAATTCAACTTCAACATAGGGTAAAAAGCTTGTAATGAAAATTTGGCAAACCGATAGGCGAATATCATAGATTCATAGAGCCCGAATTTCAACTGCCTATTACTTTTTGAAGTGGTACCGGCCAAAGTTAGTTTTTACGGTACCTGATCCTTAAATGCAACCTCATGTAGCACCATTGTCCGACGCAACATTTCCTTATAAGCGGACTGCCCTGGTGGTGGAACCGGCGAAAGTGGCACATAGTCGTGGTAATGCCCACTTCGAAAGGTCCCATTGCCAATAATCATGGGCGTAGCACCACCATTAGCATCGACATTGAGATCGTATTGTGAATTGTACACAGGAAAGTAGCTTTTGCACTGCATTATTTGCCCTGCTCACAACAATGTGCAACTGTGTTAAGTGTGAATAATCAAATTCATCTAGAAACTAAGTAACATAAAGTTTGTGGTAATTATAAACAAATAATTTAAAGTAAAACAAATCAGGCTTCATTTTTTAAATTTAAAATATCACACTGACTTAATTATCTTCAACAACACCCACAACTTTTGTATGAACATGTACATGAAAAATGTGACACATATCAATCCCCCCTTCCGAGTTAATACTCCCTTTGTCCAAAATTAGTTGTCGCATTGGCAAGCGTATTTTGAACTAATAAAGTGACAACTAAATCTAGACGGAGGCATTATGAGATTATAGCTCCTTAAGCAACCAGATTATTAGCTTTCAAAAACATTTTCTAAATATAGATTAACACTTATTGATTCATACTAAAACTACTAATTCTAAATTAGCATCTGAGTAATTTTTTTTTTTTAAAAAAAAAAAAAAACCAAGGTCAAAAGTGTAATTTGGCTGAAAAAGAAAAAAATCAATAAAACAAACTACAGAATTACACTGTTTCAATACATCAATGGCAGAAACTATAACACAGAAAATCAAGGATTATTACAAAATTACCAGATTGAGCTTAGAACATAGATCAATTTTTTACCCATTAAAAAAAAAAAAAAAAAAAAAAAAAAAAAAAATCTTTATTTTTATAAAAAAGCTTTAAAATCTAAAGAAAATGAAATTCTTTTGTACTCACTTTTCACCAGATTCTTGACCATCAAATCTCAATCCCCACATTGTTTTTTCTCACAGTAGTGTGAGAAAGTTAGAGAGAAAGTGATATTAACAGCTAAAATTTTGTTTTGATTTTGAAAACCCAGATTAATATTAACAATTCATACCCAAAAAAAAAACATTTAAAAATCAAAAAACTTAAAATTAAACAGAAAAAAAAGAGTGTAATTATATTATAGATTACTGTTGGAGAAACCCCATGAATCAAAATTCAAGGAGAGAGAAAATTTAGAGGAACATTTACCTGAAATTGAGACAGAGTATCAAAAATCTTCTTAAGCCTTCAAACAAAAACAACCAAAAATCTTGAGAAGAGGTTAAATTTTGAAGTGGGTGTTTCTTAGAAATGAAGAAAATTTGAAGAAAAAAAGAAGGATTTTCATTGGATTGAGAAGATGAAGAGGAAGAAAACTTGTAGCACTGGATCTGCTGGACCCACCCACTTTCTCTCACTAAGAGAAGAGAGAGAAAATGAAAGAAATCTAAAGAAACCAACAAACTAGGAAGAGGAATCAGAGGAATGGAGGAAGGAAAGGACATTAATATATCAAAATGCCTTTTTCTTTTCTTTTTTTTATTTAACTTTTTTTTTGGATTTTGTAAAAGGACAATGAAGTCAATGATAAATGCACAAATTTAAGGCTTCGGTTGTACACTTGTATTATCTGATTTTGTTTGAAAATATAAAAGATACAACCTTCGTTTTAGATTATTTATAATAATTAAAAAAAATTAATTATATTTTATGTCAAATCGATGCAAATAATTTGAAACAAATGTAGTATTATTTCTATAGATGATGATGATGATGCAACCCTCATTAAACAAAAATACACATAAATTAGTATAAATTAATGTATATTTTTCCGAAATCTTTACTCCTTGAACATTAATACATTGATCTACTCATGTTTTTAGTAAAAATAAGCATTAATTACACCGATCTACGAGTGTTTTATGTGCTTATATGCAACACTATCATTCTATCATTACCCTTTATTTTAACTTATTTTATTTTAGCTGAAATTATTTATTTTTATTTAATTTTTTGGGACATTTATGAATTAATGTGTGATTTTTACATCAACACGTAGTGTTATCATAAATTCTTAAATTTATATAATCATTCTATTTTACAATCACACATTTTTGTTAAATAAAGCATTTTCCTCTTTAGAAGTAATTTATTTTACATTTTTTTTTTATTATTATAATCCCTAACTACTCCGTAGTAGTGTACATTTTAAATTTTTTTTTTTTTTTTTTTGCCCAAGTGTACATTTTAAATTACATACTCTTTCTTTTTCTTTTTTTTTTCCTCATGGTCACAATTTTTACATTTTCAGAGTGTTTTGTGTGCGGCTGGCCACACCTTTTGGCCGTTTGTAAGAGAACAAAATAACCCCCTATGACACAGATCAAGTAACTCCTAAAACACTAACGAAGAAACCCTTGTAAGGCTATAACACATTGAGCTAGTAATCCCTGTAACGTTAATAGAGTAACCCCACATATAAAAATTTGTGTTACATTTTTTATTATTCTCGACTTCTGATCCTTTACATCTTAATAAATTATTTAACTTGCATTCTTTTTTTCTTTTTTTTTTTTATAAAACATACATTTTTTTCATACCAAGAAATTTTATTTCTCAACAAACCTTAATATTTTTTGAAGGAACGATAGCACGGATTTTAAAAGATTAAATTAATTTATGTCAGATTATACTTTGTGGAAACGAACTCGTACAGATGTACTCTACGTCTCTACATTACTTTCCATATCCTACCTAGCTACTAGATGTGCTACCAAATTACATTATACATTTATTAGAAATATGCAACAATAAATAAAAAAATAATAAATAAATAAATAAAATTAAAAAAAAAAAAATAAGACAGTCTATCCTTCAAAGTAAAAATATGCTACCTCCGTTTCTTATTATTTACTACAAAGGAGTATTATTTGTGTGACATAAAAAAAATTTATTTATTACAATTAATAAGTAAATACCTTATATATATTTCACAAAACTTAATGTGTCACTCAATATATATGCATACTCCCCCCATTTTTTTTTAAATGCAACATTTGTAATAATTAGTGAACTATTCATTAAGTGACTTTGAGTTGAATTTTACTAATGTACTCCGTATAATTTATAATAATGAAAAACAATGATATTACGAGTAATAATCAAAGTGACGTATGGTAAATCGTAAATGTGCTAATCAACTTGTTGCACTTAAAAAAGAGGAAGTATATATACTAAATAGAGGTGTTGGGTGTTTGGATCGGATTCGGTGAGGTCGAGTCGAATCGGGTTAATTTTAAAGTTGAGTCATGCTAAATTATTATGAATCGGATATTTTTCAGGACGGTTTTGAATCGGTTCGGATCCGATGTAGTTTTGAGTTTTGACACCTCTAATACTAAGTAAGGAGTATGTTATACTATACAGGTTGTACTCCGTATGTATATATTCCTACTATACTTGTACTCCCTCCGTTTTAAAATACTTGCTCCACTTTCTATTTCCTGTCGTTTTTAAATACTTGCTCCATTTCCTTATTGGGTAAGTTTTTACAATATTTAATTCATTTATCTCAATTAGTGGACCTAACATAAATCATATTTTATTACTCCCTATCTCCCATAATACTTGACACAGTTTCCATTTTCGACCGTCCCAAAATACTTGACACGTTACTAAATATGGAATGGAACTACAAATAAACAAATATTTTCCTATACTCTCTTTGGGACCACAAACCCCAAAATCCAATTAAATCCTACATTTTCTCCTCCTCACTACCTCCACCTCCCCCACTTTTTGTTTTCTTATAATATAAAAATATAAAATAGAATCCTTTATATAATAAACAAATGGGTTCATAATAATAAACAAATGTTTTAAATGAACCCATTTGAAATTTTCTTAAACTACGTGTCCACCCAAACGTCTCAAGTATTATGGGACGGAGTGAGTACGTAGTAATTTCATATTCTCTCTCCTCCAATTCTCTCAACTACTTTTGCTTTTTACAATTTTTTATTCTTCTATCTACCCCACTACCTCCATATTTTATTACTTTTTCCAATTTCTTCTAAAACTCCGCACATGGAGAAATGGAGCAAGTAGAGGTGGGCACCGTGCCGTGCCGGGCCACTGCGGGCCGTGCCTGGTGGTGGCTCATGTCGGGCCGTGCCGTGCCTGCAACTTCGCGTGTCGGGCCACCATTTGGCACACCCCAGCCCACGGCACGGCCCACGTGCTTGGCGTGTCGTGCAGTACCGGGCAGCGGGCCGCCTCGAATTTATTTATTTATTTATTTATTTATTTTTAAAATTGATATATATATTTTTTTTTGAATAACTTTTAAAATGAGTATATTTAAATAATTTTATTAATGTATGTTTATTTTTTGTATTGTTATATTATTATTGTTCTTTTTATTATTATAGTTCTTTTACTCTTTATTATTTATGTTATTATTAATTTATTATAATTAATTTTATTATTTTTATTATTATACATATTTGTTATTATTTATCAAGAAGCAACAATGCATATAATTACAAAAAAAAATTGAGTGTGATAACACAAAAATTGATGAATAACTTATTTAATTTTATTATACGCCAGTACGATAAATCGATAATACAATCATTTATAATGATAACAATCGTACAATAATTGATGAATAACTTAACTTTATAGTTTATTTTATTATACGGGGTTCAATAATACAAAATTTAGCTATAACTAATAGTATGTAATAATCTAATTATTCTTCTTGTTCTTCTTCGTCTTCGTCTTCGTCTTCTTCTTCTTCTTCTTGTTCAAGTTCAAGTTCATCGGCCAATTGAATTGATTGAGAACTAGTAGAACCCGACGTTCTTTCATCGTCGTCATTTTCTGCATAAGTACGATCTTGGCAGCGAGTTTCGGCATCCAACCAATCCTTGAAACAAACACACATTTCAAGTATTTCGTGTTTTAGTCTTGTTCTTCTATCGTCTAAAATCCTTCCTGACGCACTAAAAGCTCTTTCGGAGGCAACGGAGGAGACTTGAATAGCAAAAATATCACGAGACATTGCCGCCAAAATTGGATGTTTCGTGCTTTGTGCTTTCCACCAATCAAGGATATCGAGGCCGTACTTCTCTTCATCATCCATGCCATTCATGAAGTCGTAACTTAAGTACATTTGCAACTCTGAAACATCACTTTGTGTTATCCTAGATGATGATTCACTACCTGAAAACTTAGACATCATGTTAGCAGCTAGTGCAAATAAACCTTTGGCCCTTTTACTTACATTTTTGGATGATTGAGAAGGAGCAAATCGAGTCGCGGTTCCATATTTAGATTCATAAACTCTATATGAGGCAAAAAAATTATTGGTCACGTTAGTTTTATAAGATTCAACATCATATTCAAAATTCATGCATTGAAAATAAAAATCAATTAATAAAAATGTGCCATCATACTTTTGCCTCGGATCTAATATAGAAGCAAAAATATAAATCATAGGAATAGTAATGTAATATTTACGCAATTTTTCCTCCATTGATGGAAGATATCCATCATAATCGTGTTGTAATCGGTGTTCATCGAAAAGATGTGCAAGTAAACATGCATTGATAAGAAAAGAATGAGCACAAGGATTATAAATAGAAGAAAAACAATGTGTCATACTATATAATAATTGTAAAAACTGCATATATTTTTCACAATTAGACCAATCATCATCTAGTAAAGCAAATTGTGGAAATTTTTTATTATAAAAAAATTGTTAATGAAGCCTTGTACTCGATTACCCTACTCAACATTTCATAGGTGAAGTTCCACCTAGTTGCACAATCCGTTGATATTTTAATAGCCTTTATCTTTTGTTGCCTGCAAAAAGCTTTCCATTCCTGAAATCTCATGGTAGAGCTGTTAATAGATATAATAACATTTCTAATTTTGTGATAAAATGGACCAATTGCTTGTGTTCTATCCTTCACACACAAGTTAAGAACATGACAAATGCATCTAATATGTAGTGCATCTCCATCTAATATTACATCGATCAATTGTGCTTTAACTAAATTTGCACTAATGTCATAGAAGTTGCATTATCAAAAGTCATAGACATGATTTTAGGCCTAAGATTATATGCATCAATAGCTTGCATTAAATGATGAGCAATATTAAGACCGGTGAGGGGTATTCAAGCATTTTAAAATGGATAATGCGTTTTTATAATAACAAATCAGTATCAAACTAATGACAAGTCACACACAAATAGTGATATTCATAAACACTATCCCATGCATCAGCAGTCAAACAAACTCTACAAGTAAGATTACTTAATTCATCATATAACTTTAATTTGTACTCTAGAAAAGATTTCATGGCAGCCGAACGGACAGTTTTTCTAGAGATTTTTTTGTGTTGGGGTTGTAGTGCTCGATTAATGTAATTGTTAAAGGGATCATTTTCGGCAAAAAGAAAAGGTTGTTCGGCATGTACTAATATTCTCCAAGTTCATCTCTATCTCTCTCATAATTATAAGTGAAGCCATGTGGATGGAATTGAGAAATTTTCGGTTGAGTTGGATCACTAGATGGACCACCACATTTTTTTACATGTCTACTAAGGTGTCCCGTCCTTCCCTTGGTTTCGGCCGAGTAAATTTTGTTACATGTCTTACACTTGGCTTTGGTTCCATCTCTACTTAATTGAAAATATCCCCAAACATTACTCTTTCGGTTGGTATTGGCAAGTTCCTCTTCGGTACACCATTCTAATGTGTTTGGAATTTG